TTGTTTGAATTTCGCGCAAAGCTACACGAGGGCTATCTGCGCTAGCCGTCCCTTATTTAGACTAGAGGGAAGACAACTAGTCATCGCCACCCACGGCCAACTCGTGGGCTACTCTTTTTACCAAAGAATAGTGGGATTGACCGTCACTTTATAACGGCTGAAAGGGAGAGCATGTTTGGTGGGACGGGGATTCGAACTCGCGACCCTCAGATTGCGAGTCGAGCGCCCTAACCACCTGGCCATGGCCATTTCTTCGAACAGAGTTTTGATAAAGAACTATTTCAGGCCTAGAGCAACACATTTTGGATAAGAGCCAAGAAGTGGCTTGAACCAAATAGTGGAATACAGTTTGTGGTGCAACATAACATTCTATTGTGCATAGCCTACAAAAGTCGAAGCATGACGCTAAGTGACACCCCACTTCGTGCATGAAGACTTCTTTAGTTCACTTTGTCTCATGGATAGTGTTAATTATGTCCGAGCGATGTACGAGTAAGTAGAAAGGGTTTGTTCGTGATTTTGTTGAATTTCGCACAAAGCTATTCTAGGGCTATCTGCGCTAGCAGTCCATAATTTTGAAGTGATAGACTAGAGGGAAGGTCGCTAGTCAACACCACCCACCGCCAACTCTTGGGCTACTCTTTTCCAAGAAATAGCAGGATTAAAGGTCACATTATAACGCCTCAAAGGCTGAAAGGGCGAGCATGCTTGGCGTTAGAATTGTGGTACAGCATCTAACATAAGGGCGACAAGATAAAGGCTCATTAGCGTTGCGAATGGTTTGTATAATTTCTTACAAACAATCAACAACAAGTTGCCCCATTAACGAATTTCCAACTACAAAGTCACATGTTCTGAAGGCAAGACAACTGATCTCCATAACAGAGCTCCCCCAGTAGCGCAGCGGCATTGTCTGCGGACTTATACTGCTAGAAATCGGGTTTCGATACCCGTGGTGGGCAGAGCACAGATAGACCTTTGTGCTTAATACTGAACAACAACAACAACAACCATAACAAAAGTACATAAGAAAAAAAAATTACTGAATGCTGTGCACGTGCAAAATATTCAACAGCATACGGTTAAACTTGTAACGGCGCGCGCGTTCAGATAATCGCGTCTTTATAAATTACGATGAAATGAATCGAGAGAATCTGATAAGCCGCATACAATTTTGTACATTTCACGACACAACTGAGCACAGGACAAGGTAGGTTATAACGTATATTACTTACAGAAAGTAAACACTAACAGTCCTAATCAAATCGCTTTATACAACGAGTATGCGCTTATCAGCACCGAGCATCACCAGCCAACATCCCATTACTCCGAGCAGTTGATCGTTAACTTCCTCTAACATACCACCAAACGTCGCACTGACAGCGCCTTGTAGCGGAAATTTACAAATATATTTCGTTAAATAAACCACTTCCAGGACTCGAAAGAAGCGATCAAACGGCACCAATGCGCGTTCTCATCTTTATTTACGCGCGGGCTATGTTATTTGCGCAAGTAGAAAAACGTATCGAATTTTGAGAAATGTTGCAATAACATTGTGTGACTGTCGTAGCTAGTGTAAGTACTGGCCACACGACAAACGACGCTGTGTACAGATCCACCTAAACTAATTAAAAATTACAGCTGCTGTATCTATAAATTCTTCTTATGGAAGCAGCTGAACACTTTTCTCTCTAGGTATAACAAAAATATGTCGGTTAACAGACTTACAACGCTAAAATCTGGGGTTCGATTCCCTAAGGCGGATTCAGCAGATAGCCCGATGTGGCTTTGCTCTAAAACAAACAATCTGTAAAGACTTCTCGCTTCATTATTTAATTATTGTGTGTTTTGTTTTAAGCGGACGGATTCAGCAGATAGCCCGATGTGGCTTTGTTCTAAAACAAACAATCTGTAAAGATTTCTCGCTTCATTCTTTAATTACTGTTTGTTTTGTTTTAAGCGGACGGATTCAGCAGATAGCCCGATGTGGCTTTGCTCTAAAACAAACAATCTGTAAAGATTTCTCGCTTCATTCTTTAATTACCGTTTGTTTTGTTTTAAGCGGACGGATTCAGCAGATAGCCCGATGTGGCTTTGCTCTAAAACAAACAATCTGTAAAGACTTCTCGCTTCATTCTTTAATTACTGTTTGTTTTGCTTTAAGCGGACGGATTCAGCAGATAGCCCGATGTGGCTTTGCTCTAAAACAAACAATCTGTAAAGACTTCTTGCTTCATTCTTTAATTACCGTTTGTTTTGTTTTAAGCGGACGGATTCAGCAGATAGCTCAATGTGGCTTTGCTCTAAAAGAAACAGTCTGTAAAGCTTTAATTATTGTTTGTTTTGTTTTAGGCGGAAAAGTACGAGGTAATTCTATATTAATCTTAGAATCACTTACATCATCTATTTTCTAATTATATTTTCTAAACTACTTATGCACCAAATTCCTTGTAGAGCATGCAAAGAAAAAAAGTTGGTAACTTGAAGGTTAAGAAGACAAAGTCCGAACAAAGTCTTGTCGTTCAGTAGTCAGCGAAACCAGAATCGTAATTTTTGTTATTGTACATAATGAATGAGATACACATATAGCAGTAATATCGTGTAAGCCTTCGTCAATTCGGCTTTTGACTCCAAAGTGGCATCATCCAGTTGACATTGCAATTTTGGGAATTCTTGGTTTTGACCTAGCTTAACGTAGTAATATATATAATATATAAAACGAAAGCAAACATAAAATATATGAAGCATTTATCAGTTATAAGAAACATATGGTTTTACTTCAGTAATTATCTTAACTTCTCTAAAGGTGCCGAGATACGGATTGTAAGGTTCAAGGTTCGAGCCGTGAAATGCCGCTAAAACGCCTCGCACTTCGAGCTGTAGTTTTGTTATAATAGTAATAACGAGACAATCTCGCTATTCAGTTAAGGATAGTCATGTAGGCGGTATATGTTACCTGCCTGGACCTTAGGGGGTCTCTGTGTTGTATAAGGTGCTGTTCAGGCTTAAGATACCAAATGCCCATCTGCATGTTTTACCCTAGTTTATAGTGAAACAAATGCTGAAATTTTAACCGAACTGCAAAGGAAATAACTCACTACTGATTAAGAGTGCTTACAGCAATTGTGGTGGAAACTTTGATAATCAGGTGCAATACAGATGGTTTATTGTAATGACGGCAAACGTATATATATATATATATATATCAAACAAACAGAGACGAGTGTCACCGTACCACACGCTTGCACTACCCAAAATACTCACACAGTTACCCCAGCAGCTGTTCCAACAGCAGCTGGGTGACAAGTCAGTTGCCAAGAAAATGCGGCTTTAAAAATAAATGTCAAACGATATAACACAAACATCAGTAAGAGGCGTGTTCTTTTAAATTAATAAGATGAAAGTCGGCAAGCCTGGCTATAATAAACCAAGTCTTCTTTATTTCAGTAACGAATAAAAACTTGAAGCTCTCAGAATAATTATTTCATTTCGTTCGGATTATTAAAAACTGGAGCAACGACATTTAAAAACTTTTTTGTTGTTGTTGTTGTTGTTGCTTTTATAGATTTTTATTTGTTTGTTTGAAGTTAAGCACAAAGCTACTCAAAGAGCTATCTGTGCTCTGCTCACTACGGGTATCGAAACCCGGTTTTTAGCATTATAAGTCTCTAGACTTCCCGCTGAGCCACTGGGGGTGCTTTCATAGATAAAAATTGATATTGATTTCACGGTTATCTCATACTTTAAACGAAAAGAAAAAGAAAAAAAAAGGTAGCTGTCACAGCAAAATAGTCAATCCTGAAAGGAGGGATGAAGAGATCAATTTTTTTTTTGTTATCGATTTATATCAAGTATTTAAAACAAATAAAATATCCACAAATAATAATAGTCTTGTCTCCCGGCAGGCCAGAGATAAGGTTACGGACTTATAGCACTAAAATCCGGGCTTCGATTCTCCGCAGTGGACACAGCAGATAGCTCAAATGTGGCTTTGTACTGAAACAAGCAAAAAACAATAACAATCTTTTTTTTTCTGTGTGTGTGTGTGTGTGATACATGCGCACGCTGTCACGTATAGTAAGTCAGGTTTGTACCGATTCACGTTTTCGTTTCCACCAGAAGAAACTCGATATAATAACATATAATTACAAAAAACAAACAGTAATATTTGTCTAGGTATATTAAGTCGACAATATGGTTACATTTTTATTCTGTAATATATTTCATCCTACAGTCTTACAACATGCCATTTTATCCCACTGAATTCTGAAAGCACTATTATACGAAGGTTATGCGTCCCTTGTCTAGGTATATTAAGTCGACAATATGGTTACATTTTTATTCTGTAATATATTTCATCCTACAGTCTTACAACATGCCATTTTACCCCACTGAATTCTGAAAGCACTATTATACGAAGGTTATGCGTCCCTTGTTTCGGCGAAGAATCACAGAAACTCATTGAAAATTCCTGCCTAAATGAAGTTATCCATAAAAACTCTTGACCAACTGTATTTCACCTGTTACGTCTTTAAATACGCTGTTTCGTAAACGTGATTATTCAAGTACACAGCAGAGACGGCCTTTCAGGATACTCCTGTTTGCGCAACGACACTACGGTAGGTGTTGATAAACACAGAATCAGTGGACTATGCACTGTTTCTCAGCACGTTCTGATTATATAGCAACCTGTAGATGTAACTCAGATCACGTGTAATTGAACATTTGGGTTCAAACAAACGTGAAGACGGACGATGGTTTTTATATGCTCTACAAGAACTATGACTCTATGACTCATTACTACCGCTGTTGTAATAAGAGTGAAACTTATCCCCTCTTAATAAAAAAAGTGAAAGGGACATGCCCAGGTGTAAAGTATGCCTATTAGCTGGAATGTTAAGCTATCCTAAAATCACATGTAAAAGAGGCCTGCTATGACCATTCACGATCTCTCAAACTTACAAACATTACGTACATTACTCGGACTCTTTGTAATGGACACTAACTTGTATGCATTGCCCCTAAACCTGGATACGGATACGTAACCTGAAAGTATGAAGCTTTAGACACTATTCAGTGAACAGCAGTGTTTCTTGACACGCAAGAGTCTAAAACAAAACATTCAAATACGAAAGCAAACACAGATTTTTCTCCCAAATTAAAAGTAAATTAAACTTTACCTCAACTCCATTCCACATGTAGTGAACATCATGAGGCGAAGGGTGCGCGGGCATATTCATGTGAGCATGATCAGCCATCATGGACATCCAGTGCACGAGACCTGACGAGGGTGACACCGGGCGCACAGGGGCAGCTGAGGAGGACGAAGACAGCCCTGTTGACTTACCATAGGTGTCCGGAGTAGGAGACCATACTAGTGCTGCTTTCTAATTGGGTGAATAAAACAAACTGTATAACCGATCCAATCAATTCTTGTTTTATCTTCTAATTTTAACGTAGCTTCATTATGACAACGAAGTAACAACAGGTTCAGTAACATCAAAAGTTAATGTTGAAAATGAAAACTCTTTAGATAACAAAGAAAATATTGATACAGTATTTTATCATAGCATATAACTTCACCTAACCCTAAATGATATGTAATTAACTACAGACTATGAGCAAATATACAGTATATATATATATGGGCCATACAATGAGTAATTAACTACATTCTATGAACAAATATACAGTATATGTATATATATACAATGAGTAATTTTGAAACAAGCCAAAAGGTGACGAAAATTAACAAATGGTTAAACAAAACTGACATACAACACAGAACTGAAGCTGTCTCAGTGTTGGTTTTTAGTTTATTAGATCACTACAACACAGAACTAAAGTGATCTAATAAACTAAAAACCAATACTGAGACAGCTACAACACAGAACTGAAGCTGTCTCAGTGTTGGCTTTTAGTTTATTAAATCACTACAACACAGAACTGAAGCTGTCTCAGTGTTGGTTTTTAGTTTATTAGATCACTACAACACAGAACTGAAGCTGTCTCAGTGTTGGTTTTTAGTTTATTAGATCACTACAACACAGAACTAAAGCTGTCTCAGTATTGGTTTTTAGTTTATTAGATCACTACAACACAGAAATGAAGCTATCTCAGTGTTGGCTTTTAGTTTATTAGATCACTACAACACAGAACTGAAGCTGTCTCAGTATTGGTTTTTAGTTTATTAGATCACTACAACACAGAACTGAAGCTGTCTCAGTGTTGGTTTTTAGTTTATTAGATCACTACAACACAGAAATTTGTGTCAACTAAAAGCTGTCTTATGAAAAAGAGAGAAAGAGAGAAATAAGCAGGGGTAATGGGTCCTTAACAAGCTTTTTTTCACTACACCATTCACTGCCTATTCTTCCCTTCTTGACGTTATTAATAGGTGTAATACATGAAACGGAAGGGAGTGGAGATTTAAGGATAGAGAGAAAAAAATAAATAATAAGAAATTACCGAATACATGGACGATGGATTTCCGAGAACTCCAAGCCTGGGGACTGTATTTAAGGAGTCCAAGTTTTTTCCCGAAAAATAGCAGTGTTGGCCACCATAAAAACTCCCCGACCCTGTGCTAGAGCCCGATGAGAGTGGTGAGCCAAGGGCAGCAGTGGGTGGATAGCCAGTCTCAATTAGTCCGTTCTCCTGCTTGATCGACACGGCGAGAGGTGATGTCCGCGAACACCTCGTGAAACCTACATCGGGATGGTGAAGCTCTAAACAAGACTGCATGTGCATGAGGAAAGATACGGAACTCTACTGTTTCTGTGCGCGAAGCTCGCCACAGAAAAAGCGTCATACGATGCCACAGTACATATACTACAGTCTCGATCAGCTACCAACGTCTTACAACGCTGCTAAGGGCTCACGAGTGTGAGTTGGCTGGCCACGGTGAGAGCTCTGACGGTTAGAACCAATGCAATCCTTCACTCCAAGTCTGATTAGCCTCGTGGCTCAGCCAAGAACCGCCTGCTGCCCGCGTACGACATCTGCGTGAGTTCTACATGAGCAGTCGCCAACTGGGCCCGACTACCTTGCGAGCCCCGCGGTAAACTACGGCGTTTTTTTTTGTTTTTTTTTTAAAACTAGTTTCCAACTCCTTTCTGGCAAGCAACTCCACATTTAACTCAGGTAACATACAGCAGTCGAGCAGCGCCACCGCTCGTTCTACGCTCTTGCACTTGAGACTGTCAGGCCACATCACGTGTGAATATGCAGAAGCACCTTCCCCGCCCTATCACAAAATACTGACACCCCCTCACCATCCTTTACCTTTCAGGGGTCCTTTTAATTCAATATTAGCGTCTTCCCATTTTCTCCACTTATTCAGCCGTCAGACAAGTTGATAAACAAAACGCAGTCCAAGTTACCGCAATGTTAGATAGTCGTCAAAGCAACGATAACTGATTGGTTAGTTTTTAACCCATGCAAATATTTATTTTCTCTATTCTTCCCCCTCCCGCCCTCTCTCTCACGTACACACACAACTGAGCTTAGAACATTGTCACTACTACTACTATGTTGACGTATCGCCTGTCGTCAGGTGCGATTAAATTTCAAAAATAAACCCGCAGTGTGAAATAAAACCTCAACTTAAGATTACACCGTATGAGGAACATACACCCAAAATCTTGGATAAGCAACATTACGAAGCTTCTGTGACAGTTGCGCTTTGTCGTTGCATGATATCTCAAACATTTATATTAAACTATTGAAGGAAAGTTAAAGAGAGAGAGAGAGAACTAGGGAAGAAAGAAAAGAGACAGAGAGAAAATACAAAGAGCTATGAAAAGACAGAAATAGATGCATAAACATGCCTGTCGAATATTTTTGTTTTGTTTCATCTTATTATCTAATTATTGGGGTATGTTTTCGAATGGATAAATGTCACAACCCGAAAGCAACAACACAGACATCATCTATAGCTAGCTGGGGATTTCTAATGAACAAACATCATGTATAGCTAGCTGGGGATTTCTAATGAACAAACATCATGTATAGCTAGCTGGGGATTTCTGACAAACAAACATCATGTATAGCTAGCTGGGGATTTCTAATGAACAAACATCATGTATAGCTAGCTGGGGATTTCTGACAAACAAACATCATCTATAGCTAGCTGGGGATTTCTAATGAACAAACATCATGTATAGCGAGCTGGGGATTTCTGACAAACAAACATCATCTATAGCTAGCTGGGGATTTTTAATGAACAAACATCATGTATAGCTAGCTGGGGATTTCTGACAAACAAACATCATGTATAGCGAGCTGGGGATTTCGGACTCTAAAAAAACGCATACGTGTAGTTTAGTAGGAATTTACAAAGAAATAAAGATACACATTTATTGAATATAATCACTGATCAAAAACGTATTATTTAATCTAGTTGCAGAGAATATTATATATATATATTTATATGTAATATTCATATGTGTAAATAACACGAACACACATTTATACTTCACTGCTCTGTAGATGTTTGGAAACTTATTCACACATAAAATATATATATGTAATATTCATATGTGTAAATAACACGAACACACATTTATACTTCACTGCTCTGTAGATGTTTGGAAACTTGTCCACACATAGAATATATATATGTAATTTTCATATGTGTAAATAACACGAACACACATTTATACTTCACTGCTCTGTAGATGTTTGGAAACTTGTCCACACATAGAATATATATATGTAATTTTCATATGTGTAAATAACACGAACACACATTTATACTTCACTGCTCTGTAGATGTTTGGAAACTTATTCACACATAGAATATATATATATATGTAATTTTCATATGTGCAAATAACACGAACACACATTTATACTTCACTGCTCTGTAGATGTTTGGAAACTTATTCACACATAAAAATATATATATGTAATTTTCAAATGTGCAAG